TTCCTTCTCCTACCTTCCCTTCCTCCCTCCCTCCCCACCCTCCCCTTCCTTTCTCTCCCTCCCCACCCTCCCCTTCCTTCCTCTCCTTCTCCTTCCCTCTCTTCCTCGCTCCCTCCCTCCCACCCTCCCTCTCTGTCTCCCTCCCTCCCTCCCCTCCCACCTTCTCCAGGTCCAAACGAACTGCTACTACCGCCTCCCTCTCGCGTCTACCGTGATGGAGAAACAGTCTGGAGTCTCGACCGCTCGCTCATTAGCATTCTTGGGCGCGGGCGTGCGGGCGTGCGGGCGGGAGGGTGGGCGGTCTGAGCGTGGGATAAACCGCTGCGAATGAACCCCCCCCCCCTTTCCTCCCTTTCTTTTTTTATTTTCTTATCTGCTTGTGCTATCTATCTGCGGTTTGTTATCATCAGTTTGATTATTGTTTTTTATGTATTTCGTTGGTCGGAGCCTATTTTTGGGGATCGTGGGTTATATGGAGGTTTAAATCCTTCATGTCGTTTATTAAATCCTTTAAGTCGTTTATTAAATACTTTAAGTCGTTTATTAAATCTTTTAAGTCGTTTATTAAATCCTTTGAGTCGTTTATTAAATCTTTCAAGTCGTTTATTAAATACTTTATGTCGTTTATTAAATCCTTTAAGTCATTTATTAAACCTTTAAAGTCGTTTATTAAACCCTTTATGTCGTTTATTAAATCCTTTATGTCGTTTATTAAACCCTTTGTCGTCTCGTATGTTCTATAGATGATTAAACCATATTCGTCGTTTATAAAATACAACAAATGCCATTTTAGAGGTTACTTGGATGATCAGATCCTCTATATCCAGAGACAACTGCCTCTGACCTGTACTTTTAGACCTGTACTCTCTGTCACTGACATTTTGACACAAAAACAATCCGTAAGTCATATTTATCTGATCTTTCAAACGATCGCAAAACCAAAATGAACATAATTTTCCTTGTTTGTGGAATTCTAAAAGATTACGTCCACCCATGACGGGCGTTACTGAAAGCACGAACACTAGAAAGGTCCAAGTTGTAGCTTATGATATCTAATCGGATTAAAAAAAGAAAAAACGAAAAAAAAGAAAAAAATAGCCGTTTTGTTAGTCCCCGGCACACTGTTCCACGTCCGTCGCTCGAGTTGCAGTTTTGTTAGTGGGTTGGTATAAACAGGAGAGATAAGTGGATGGATAGATAGATAGATAGATAGATAAATATATATATAAATAGGTAGGTAGACATACAGATAGATAAGTAGATAGGTAGATAGAAAGATAGAGAGGTAGATAGAAAAAAAATAAGATAGATAATGGATAGATAGATAGATAGATTAATTTATAAATAGATAGATAGATAGAGAGATAGAGAGATAGTCGGACAGACAGACAGATAGGTAGACTGATAGATAGGTAGGCAGATAGATAGATAGATAGATAAATAGATAGATAGATGGACAGACAGATAGTTTGTTATACAACAGAAACCCATAAAGAAACAATGATTAAAGAAAAAAGACAAAGAAGCAGAGAGATAGAAATAAGAAAACTAAGTAAAGCAGAGAAGAGGGAGAAAGAAGAAGTGGAAAGGAGGAACAAGGGAGAAAGGAAAGAAGGAAGAAAAGAAGGAGAGATGAAGAGGAATGACACAAAGAGGGAGATAATAAGAAAGGACACCAGAGAAGAGAAAAGAGAATTAGACAAGACAATAAGACAATAATAACAGAGAGGAGTAAAGAGAGAAGATGAATAGAGGAAAAAGAGAAGATGAATGTACAGAAGAAGCAAAAAGGGAATGATAAGGAGAAACGAGGGAAAGGGAAAGAACAAGAAGAAATTAGACTAAAGAGAATCAAGGAGGAAGAGAGAAAGGAAAAACGGATGCAGACAAAGAAAGACAGAGAAGAAGAAAGAGAACAAAGGGAGAGAAACACACAGGAAGAGAAAATAAGATAAGATGGCGAAGGAGATTGAGAAAGAAGTAAAGAAAACATGGAGAAAGAGAGAAGGAGAAAGTAAGAAAACAAGAAGGAGAAACATAGGAGAATGAGAAGGAAAAGAAATAGAGAAGAGAGAAAAGAGAGAAAGAGGGAGGAAGAAAGAGCAAAAACAAGAACGAGAACCAAAAGGAGAAAGAGAAAAAGAAAATAAAAGGAAAAAAATGCAAAGAAGAGAAACAGCGAGAGAGAAAGATAATAATAAGAAAAACAAAGAGGAATGGCGAAAGAGGAAGAGAAGGAGGGAAAACAGGAGAGGGAAAAGAGAAGACAAAAACAAGGAAAACAGGAAACAAAAACAGCGATAACGAGAAGAAAGACAAGAAAGGAGAACCAGTGAAGGAATAGAAGAAGAAGATGATAGAGAAGAAGACGAAGACGAGGAAACGAAAAGAAAAAAGAAAAACAAAGAGAAATGATAATGAGAATGGCAAAATGAAAAAGAAAAATTATCATGAGAATGAGAATAAGACCAAGAACAAGAGCAAAATAAAAAAACAAGAA